TTTTGTGGGATTCGGACAGCGCGCGCGGAAGGACATTTTGACAATTTTTTCTTAAAAAAACCATTGGGTTTTTGATGTTTTTATGTTAAAATCGCTACGAAACCTAAGGTTTTGGAAGGATTTCGTCTTGCGCGCACGAATGTCCACTTTACCTTATTTTTTGCAAGGGATTCTTGCAATTTGATCAAGTAAGAACAAGAATTTTCATTTTATAGTGTTTTTTGCAAGGGAAAACGGAGTACAACAAAACAACCGGATCCGGTAATAATTCACTTTTCTGAAGCTTTCGCTAAAAAATGATGAAAATGTAGCTGCGGCCTAGGTTTTGGAGGGGGGTCGCGCACCAGGGGTCCCAACAATAATTATTCTTTAGAAGTAATAATGTTCAACAACAACAACAACAACAACAACAACAACAACAACAACAACAACAACAACAACAACAATAACGACGACGACAACAACAACAACCACAAAAAACAACCACAACCACAACCACAACCACAACCACAACCACAACCACAACCACAACAACAACAACAACAACAACAACAAAAAACAACAACAACAACAACAACAACAACAACAACAACGACAACGACAACAACAACCACAACACCTTAACAACAACAACCACAACAACAGCAACGACAACATTAACCACAACAACAACCGCAACGACAACAACAACCATCACGTTAAGACTGTTCGCTCTTTATCTGCCCGAGCGCCATTCAACGTGTATTTCCGAAACCCTCGATGCCCGGCCTCTTCGTCTTCGATCGTACCCCTGTTCGGGGGTATATCATTATTCCCTGCAGGCCGGGCCCCGGCAAGCGGCGGGACGGCCGCGGACCGTCGGCCTGGCCAGCGGCAGCGCTGATCGGCGGCAACCCGACCCCAAGAGGGACGGACAGGGGGCCGACCACGACGAAGGCGACGACGACGACGACGACGACGACGAGGACAACGACCACGACGACGTCGACGTCGACGATGGCGACGACGAGCGAAAGTGAGAGCGAGAGCGTCAGCGACAGCGGGGCCACGAAGGGCAGGAAGGGAGCCACGGAGGGCGATAGCGGGGCCACGAACCGCATGCATATGGGGGCCACAACGGGCGCGAACGAGCGGGGGCCACGAAGGGCATACATATATGGGGCAACGAAGGGCGACAGCGGGGCCACGAAGGGCAGCGAGGGGGCCACGAAGGGCTGCAACGGGGCCACGAAAGCGAGGGGGCCACGAAGGGCTGCAATGGTGCGGCGAAAGCGAGGGGGCCACGGAGGGCTGCAACGGGGCCACGAAGGGCAGCGAGGGGGCCACGAAGGGCTGCGACGGGGACACACAAGGCAGCGAGGGGGTCACGAAGGGGTGCAATGGGGCGGTGAAGGGCAGCGAGGGGGCCACGAAGGGCTGCAACGGGGCCCCGAAGGGCTGCAACGGGTCCACGAAGGGCAGCGAAGGGCCACGAAGGGCTGAAACGGGGCCACGAAGGGCAGCGAGATCCCGACTCCTAAATAAGCTGTGAGAGAGTCCTAAGCGTGAGCGCGACTCCTGGGTGCCTGATTGTCGGGAGCGCGGCGCTCGGGTAAATCGCGGGGAATTCCAACGCGAGAGCGCGATTCTACAGTAAATTGCAAGCAAGTCTCCAGCGAGAGCGCGTCTCCAGAGCGCTGAGAAAGCAACTCCTGCATCAATTGCAAGGAAATCCCAAGCGAGAGCGCGATTCCTGAGCAAAACGCGAGGAAAACTCAGGCAGGAGGCGGGGTCCTGGCTAAATTGTGAGGAAGTCACAGGCGGGAGCCGATGTTGTTGCAATCCGGGGGCCAGGGGAGCAGTTTGAGCTTAGTGATTCCCTTTGTTTTCATACATCTATATCTATATATATATATGATGACCAACAAACAAAAATAAAACAAAACAACAACAAAAAATGCGAGCCCTGGGGGAAGCACTTCAATTGAAAAACACAATGGTCACCAGAGGTGGGGGATCAACAATAATTATTCTTCAGCCATGAGAATTCAACGACGACGACGCTGACACTTCCTCACACTTTACTCCGGGAAGCCCTCGCCAGAGAGGGCCCGAACCTCAGGAAGGGCGCTCTCGCTTGAGACCCCCTGGGGGTTCCCTCGGAGCAGTCTGGCCACTACTTGATGAGAGCGTAACGGCCGTCTCACTTGAGACTTCCTCGCGGCTTACAACGAAGGCCAGTCCACAAGAAACCTTCAACAAGAAACCCAACCCTGAGTTTCCAGCACGTCTCTTGATTTTTGGTGTGGGAACGTCACGCATTCGATCGCAAAACCATCGAAACCCAAGAAACCCGAGGGAACCCTGGAGGCAAGCAGAGTGTTTCTTGGCATGGGTCTCCACTGTAGCGCTACAAGGGGGCCCTGCAGAACCAGGTTGCTGCTACTCGCGGGTGTCGGAACGGCCTTGTCGCCTGGGACTGCTCAGCACTTCAGCACCACGGGAAGGTCCTTCAGAACACTTTTGGTGCTGCTCGCGGATGCCAGAACGGCCGCCTCGCTCGAGTCTTCCTCGCAACGCAGCAGCACAGGGGAATCTGTCAGAGCAGTCGTGCCGCCACCTGCGGAGGCCACAGGAAGCACCAGGACGCTCCAGGGATCTCTGCTCGGGGAGCGTTTTCCGGGCCTCCCGCCCACAGGAGGCCGCAGGAAGTCCAAGGAGACACTCTGTACTGGGATGTGTGTTCGGGGTGCTTTTCGGCACCTCCGCTCCCAGGAGGCCCCAGGATGGCTCCCTGTTGGGGGGACTCTTGGAGGCCTGTTGGTGCCTCCTGGGGGCGCATCGGGCCCATCGGGGCCCGAGGGCTCGAAATGTTGCCCGCTCGGGTCCCCCATCTGGGCCCCCTTTGGGATCCGTCTTTGGGGCCCCTTGGGCGGTCTTGGGCGCCTCTTGGGCCAAGATGGAAGCCTGTTGCGACGATTTGGGACCCTCTTGGAGGCCTCTTGGGCCGTCTTGGAGCGATCTTTGGGGCCTCCAGGGCCGTCTTGCGTTGGAGCGTCGGGAAGCCGACAAGGCGAGAAAGCCAAAAGCCTTCAAAACCTGAGGACCATCAATGATTTGGGCATCCTGGGGCGCTCTTGGGACGCCTCTTGGAGGCATCTTGGGCGTCTTGGAGACATCGTGGGCCGTCTAGGGGCCGTCTAGGGGCCGTTCTGGCGGTCTCGAAGCGCGTTTTTCGGCGATCTGGGGCCGTCGCGCCGGCAGGGCCCACGCGCAGCCTGGTCTCAAGTCGGGCGTGTCCCCCTACAGGCAGATTTTGAACGAAAAGGGACAAATACTGAGTCCCCAGGCAATTTTTTAACTACCTTTGAACACAGTCGGGACGTTGACCTAAGGAACCCTCAATGAGGAACGAGGCCCCTTTTTCCTATCAGTTAAAGTTCGATTTCCCATCGAAAACCTAAGGAAAACCTAAGGAAAACCTAAGGCAAGCTGTGAAACAATCAAGGAACACGGAGCCCCTCCCCAACTAAAACGGTTCCTTCTTCAGCGCCCCGACTGTATTCCTCCTGTAGCGGGACGGGCCCGACTTAAGCCTGGTCCACAGTTGGGGTCGAGGGCCTGGCCCAGGGCCCCTGGACACAGTGCCCCGTCATGTGCAAAAGGATCCAGGATGCAGATCTCGCACGGCAGGCTCGCGTCGTGTCGACGCAGGCGTTGGTTCTACCAGCCTCGAACGTATCCCTATCCCTAAGATTAACACGCCAAAAGGCGATGACAATCTTAGGGATTCGCCCTCAAAAAATAAGGGAGTCCCTAAGATTGGCATCGTAATGAGGAGGTGCCCAGCATAGGGATAGGGATATGTTCCAGGCTGGTAATGGTTTCTGACACCTCGAGGATCGTTCAACCTTGAACGATCGAACGTTGCCGAAACGTCAGCTCGTTCAACATCGACCGATTCTGGGTCGCCAGCAGCGTTCAACGTTGAACGCCGGCGGCGGGGTCGCCGCCGGTCGAACTGACGCGAACCTACCGTAAAACTGCCACCGAAAAAAAAACGACAAAGCACGGTGGCCCAAACCCATCGAACATGTAACTGCTGCTTCTGGGGCGTGCTCAGGGGGAATGGTGGCGCTGGCCCCCAGTGGGCAACAACGCCTACCCAACACGCGTCCTAGAGAGGGGGGTCGATCAGTGGACGTGTGCCCATCCCAACCGCCCCCGCGCGGTTACGCAAGAGCAACCCTGGGCAAGAGTGACCCTTGGTGCGCGGCTTTCGGGACCGCAGGGGAGGCCAAGGTCATGCCATCCGAGCGCGATAGCCAGTGCTGGCGGGACCACTGGGCCCGCACTAGAGTTAGAAAGTCCAGGGTTCGCTAGGGATTGGCTTCCTTCCAAGACAGCAGACACCCTCCCGAAACCCTCTGAAAACCGTCCGGTAAGGGCTCCAAGAGGCTTTTGAACGAGTTTCGGGAGGGCTTTGGGAGGGTTTTCGTCGTTTCGGGGGGAAGCCAAAAAACAATCACTGGCGAATCCTGGGCTTTCTAACGCTAAGAAGGTCACTCCAGCGAAAGGTCACTCTTTCGGCGGTGGACAAACCTCCCTATAGTACACCTCCCTTTCGTGAAAGCGGCCCAGGATCGAAACCGACGGACCTGGACCCGCAAAAATGACGGACGCCAACCGAAAATGACCAATGCACTAATCGACGTGACAGGGTAGGAGGTCTATCAACTCGGGTCGGGCGAAAGGGGGGGATAGCAAAGGGGTGGTTTGAGAATCAGCTCACGTAGCTGATTTTCCCGGCGCCTCCCGGCGCCGGAGGCGGCTATGTATCCAGGAATGGGCTCCTCGGTGAGGCCGAAACCAGCTAGCTGCATGCAGCAAATTTCGTAACCCCCCCTTTCCCAATCCCCCCCTTTCGTCCGGCCCGATCAACCTCCGACTCTTCCACGTAGCCGACCCGCTGACCATATGTCCTCCTGCGGCCCTCCCCCGGCCCGGGGGCCCCCGGGCGCCAGCAGGTAGCTCGCGCTGGGGGCCAGCACGCACTCCGCCCAGGAGGCCGCGCCGCACCTGTCGGGGATGGACAGACCTCCCTTTAGTAAAACGTGGTTTAGTGAAAACGACCCGAGGCCCAAACCTTGCGGGCGCAAGCCTGGAAAATAACGGCCGCGGCGCCCTCTCGAGAACCGAAAACGGACAATTCACTAATCGACGTGTCACTGTTGGGGGTTCTGTCCACCCCCGAACCTGAGGGGAGGAGGGGACCCGGATAGGGAATCGAACTCTGTACACTCGGCGGTGGACAAACCTCCCTTTCGTTAACCTCCCCTTAGTGAAAACGGCCTGGGACCGAAGCCGACGGGCCTGGACCCGCAAGAATGACGGCCGCGACGCCCTCTCGCGAACCGAAAACAGCCAATTCCTTAATCGACGCGTCAGGGTAGGAGGTCTATCAACCTCCGATGCACCGACGCTTCTTCCGGCCCTGCAGTGGAATCTGCACTGGAGAGCGGATCCTGGTGCACACGGGACTCTGGTGCATACATGTCTCGTTGTTTCCCCAGGAGAACGGGGAAACAGTCTGCAGCACACCACCCATACGTCGTCCTCGACCCTCAAGAAGTCTTGGGATTGAGCAACAGCCCGCCACTGGTAATGTATATGTGCCAGTTTCCGACCAGAGGTCCGACGCTCCGAAAAAATGGAGCGGGCGGTTTGGGGCTGCTTTCGGCTTCTGGGGGCCCTCGCTGGGCCCCATGGGACCGTCAAAAGGGGACTCGAGACGACAAATCGGTACT